GCTTCAAATTACCATTTATATTTCGAAAATAACCGTTTTCTTATAAATAAGTAGCTTTAATATGCATAAAAGTTAAATTGACATGATTAAATAATATACAGTAGATTATATACTAATATTGAGTCAAAAATATTTGATATATTTTTAATAATTAGAAATTTAATTATATAAATATCTTATGTTCTATTTTGCTTTGCTTGAGGTTAGTAACAGTCTTAGTTTGTAACGAAAATATATAATTCCAAAATGATTGCAATGCTGGCTCCGGAATATATTTCGCTAGTTGCTTCAAATCTTTCATTTTGCTTTCAAGAATTGGTAAGCTTGAAGTATAAACTAGTGTTTTTGGGAGTTGTACGGGCATTGCATTGTTTTTTCTCAATTTGAAATGGTTTGATATTATTCCGTCAATAAATTCACTTGCCTCAATTATTCCACATTTTTCCGATACACATTCAAAATAATGGTACTTAGAAATTAAAAATTTTTCTATTGTACGACGTTGTTTCAATGTTTTATTACGGCTTAAACATTCTAATGCGTTAGTATTTTTATTATAAGATTGTGGAAACCACATTTGATAGTCATAAATCATACTTTTATCAACTAGAAACACTGAAAATTTTTCTGGGTTTCTTGATGATTTTAAAATAAGTTCTATACAGTCTTCTAAAGTGTATAGACGATCCACTCTGTTCAGTTGTTTTTTTATCAATGCAAAGTCACGATCACACGGCAAAAACGAGTGTCCTCTTTGTGGAAAAAACACCTGAACTTTTTTTAATTTTTTAATTTCAACTAGAGCCATAATCATTCTGAGTAATGCATGGTTTTTGTTTTGCCCAGCACAATTGTCACAAAACAAATGCAATTCCTCAACATTATCATCAACAAAATTATTAATATAGTGAACCAAAAAAGAGCATACATCATTTGGCGTTTTTCTTGCTGTTGCCTTATGATAAACATAACAAAATAAATTATTCGTATTTAAATTATGAATACCAAAAGTATTGACAGATAATTGACGATAATAATATACTTCCTGCACCGGTATTTTAGGTAAGTCAACTACAGCCATAAAATCAAAGCAAAGACCTAACACTTTTTTATTCTGTTGAGAAATCTCTATTGTTTTTTTAATATTATAAAATTTTTTGCTTCTACGTTTATGAACTAGTAATTCCGCAGCAGCAACTCTTTTTGCAACATCATTTAAATCTTTACTCATTATTTTTGTATTTAATTCTTCGCATTTTGAACAAGCATCTTTGACTGGAGCACCAAAGCTTAATGAAAAATTATTCTTAAAATACTCCCAATAATATTGATATTTTATTTTCCCTTCTAATTCTGGATACTTTTCTAAAAACATTGTGTGCATAGTTTTAACATTTAATTTAGGGTTCAAATAATTTTTCAATCGTGTTGTGTAATGAGTATCTTTAATTGGAAAACTCAGTATATGTTCATGTATTTTTTGACAATACTCATATGGCATAGTATTAGCACTAATATTTTTGCCTCTCATATCAACTGGGGTAATATTATTTTCTAACAAATCGACCAGCCGTCTAATTTTTTGAATAGAAATATTATAAACGTTAATGAAAGCTTTCTTACATACTTGAATACGCTGTCCATCTACTATTAAAAAATACTGAACACTTTTGGATTTCGGTTTTTCTTTTCCTTCTTCTGTTTCTATTCGTTTTCGTTTTCTTGTAATTTCTTTTATTTCTATTGTTCGTTGAAGATGAAGGTCTTGTTCATTTTTAGAATGCATTTCATAAAACATTTTCATTGTATTTTCAAGTTTTTCTTGTTGAATGTCTTTGGGACATTTTTTTGAACAACTTTAAATCGAAAATATTATTGTAAAAATATAAAAGCTACTACTTATTAATAACGAATAAAACAAACTAAATATTATATAATTACCATTCTTTAAGTATTAATGAAGGATCATTCTTTGTAGCAACTATTTTTCCAATCCAGTTTGTATGTTTTTTCCCTTCGATTTTTGCTTGCTTAATAATATTTCTTTTATATTTATCACTGTTAGAAACACCTTTTTTTCTTTTGAGAGGACTAATACATTCGTCGTCTGAACTCATATTTTAAAGTTATACACGTTATGATCGTTTGTACACGACTACGACGTTTCAACCAGTACAATATTTATTTTATTCACTGATAATCATTTTATTTTATAATTAGGTAAAGCAACGTTTTCCCATTATAATCTTTATTTACTGATAAACAATTATAAAAAATTAAATTTATAAATAGAACAATATTTCATGTCATACAATAAAGTAATTTCACGAAGTTTAGGCCTGATAATATTACTAAAGTATAATTTTGATGCAAAAAGGTTACATGTCCAGGACATGTGCCTTTTCTGCAATTAACGAAATTTTAAATTATTTTTAACGGGGATCTATTTAATAGGATATGTGCCTTGTCTGCACAAAACCATGTATTTATCAATATTAAATTGGATTATGCAATAAAGTGATTTTTGTAAAATATTGGACATGTGCCCTTTCTGCATTTAGCGATTCAACTAATTACGATACGCCACATGACTAACTATACATTAAATGCCCCTTCACTGCTCGTCCAAGTAAACTTTAAAGTTCCACATCGGGCCACAAGGTCTCGAGTTCCTTTTACTGTACCTCTCCACTGTACCAATTACGGTAAAAACAAACCAATTGACCGCATGATGCGGTTGGCTAACGAGGACCCCTCCTTTCTCAGTTTACCTTAAATTGTGTTATTTTTGTACATTTATTGTATGTAATTTTACTTGTGTCCTAATTATTTTATTTTATATTTACTGTACCTGTAATTCTGCTGTATTTTAGGCCATCGCCCCTTGTATATGTTAGCTATCTTATTTTACCAAATTATTATTGTGTACTGTACTAAATAAGGAACATTAATTCCGTAAATTAATTAATAAATAAATAAATAAATAAAATTATCACAACTTATCGGCAATCGATAAAAACTAGATAAACCCACCTTTCAGATGGTTGATGCATTGTTTACCTCAAAAGGAACAATATTTATTGACTACTAAAATCGGATGAATCATTTTGAAACACACTGTATTTTGTTAATATGACAATATTATAAAATTGATTAGACATAGTTTTGATTTTATGATAGTTATAATACAATTTACAATATTGTCTTGTGAACTCTAAATAACCGCCAACGGCTCATTATCAGCGTTACCTACTCGCATTGTACGATTGCGCCTTGCAAGTTATACTTATCGTTCATTTTTGAAGTTCTGTTAAAAATTTTCAGTTTACCGTGTGTCGTATTTATTTACAAAGTTTACCTTTTCAGAACATTACTAGTTTACGGGACAACCAAAAATTTGGCAATGTTTTTAGGGGCTTTAGTCATATTTCGGGTGAAAAAAATGATGATGAAATTAGAATTTGGCACAAGAACTTAGTTTTGAAGTAATATTTCATTAAAGTTTATAACTTTACACTAAAACTCTTAAATACTAATTTTTCATTAAAATCGTTTAAAAGCATTGCGCAATGGTAGCAACATCGTTAATTTATCTACGTAGCTGAGTTCGATTCCCCCATAGGTAAAATAGAATTTAACAATAATTTTGTATCTGGTTTGATCTCTTATCGTAATGAAAATTGTTCACATTTTTTTTTTCGATAAATCGGAACTTTAATTTTAAAAATTTTAGAACTTCACTCGTTACGCCTGCCAGCTCCACTCACAAACTCAAGTGCCACTGCGTGTCACTTTACGGAGGGATGGAGCTTCGCCCCAAGAGGAATTATAGTCTAAACCTAACTTAGTTATTGTACAAACCTTGATACTGTTGTAAATGGTATTACGCTCTGCATGTGTACTAATAACTGTTTAAAAATTAATTTTAGGATACATATTTTATGAAGTACGAAACAAACAAGAATCCAAAAGGAATACTTTACTCAAAGTTTTAATTCCATAAAGTTTTTAAAATCAACTGGTTTAGTTACATAAAATGTAAAAAATGTTGATAAGCCCATTAGTCACAAACATAGTATAGATTTTGGTAAGATATTTTATCTCTCTACCTAGTGGATAGTACCTATGATGTATTTTTACTTATTGCATTTGTGATATGCATCAGTACCAGAAAAAGACATCAGTTACATAGTGGATCAAATTAAAAATGACACTATATGACAGTATCCAACTGAATCCTCTATTACTTGGTTATTTATACGAAAATATTTATTCAATTTGAACACAAAATTTGATAAACCGTTTCATACTCTTGTACACATATTATCCGACCTAAAACAAAATTAAATATTTTTTTTTGTAACTAATACTACTCATCCATTAATGTTTATGCTTTTGTTTTTCTAATATAAGTTTTTGAAGTTCAAAATATATGGAAATATATTATAACTATTATTTTTATTATAAGTCTTGTTCAGAAACTATTTATTCACAAAAAATATATGTTACATATTTCTTTGAATCTATAAAATATTGAGTTTTTTCATTTGTAATGCTGTTAATGAATGATTTAAGTATAATGTCAAATATTAAATAATTAAACAATACTGTGTTTATTGGTACTACAAGAAAAATATAACCAACGATAAATTAATTATTAATAGTACAAAATAAACTGTATAATTAACAATGTATATTGTTGGTTAAACAAGATACTTTAATCCTAAGTAACAATATGTTGGTTGATTCTACAATAAAAATTAATATAACCAATAATATAATGATTGTTGATTTTACAATAGAAACTGTATAATTAACAATGTGTATTGATTGGTTAAACAAAACTGTTTGAAAAACAATAACAATCATCAAATTGATAATAAAATCTTGTTGGCTCAATATTAACAAGATTATTGTCAATTTAACATAGATTTATATTATTATGATTATGATTTTTTTTTTTGTATATATAATAAAAATATAAAATATAAATAATCCATTTGAGTGCGGAAGAAAGTTCTCATAATCAGAGCATATAAATACTTATTACCAAAAGTTTACAGAAGAGGAATACATATAAAAATATAAGTTTTATAAACATAATGTAAAATAAATATTTAAAGAACCTCACAGAATACCATATTCTTTGTAACTCCATTGGCGTTGGTTGGTATATATACCTTAACAGATTCAGCAATTTCACCCTGGAGAATGCCACATACAATTGTCCGTAGCTGAACACTAGAGAAAGCAGGTATATTCCAACGCAGTCAAAAGTCTGTCCATGAGACTTGTCGATGGTCACTGAAAAAGCCAATGAAACAGGAAACATAATTCGCCGCAACTTGAAGGGTAAACCGTCAGCTTCGGTAGTGATCAGCGGAATCCTAGGAATAATGATGTTGTCGTCATGCTCAGTAGCGTTGAGCTGCTTAACTCTAAAATTCAAACGTCGAAGTTCAACAATTACTATTCTCGTACATTTACAGAGTCCTCTCTTAACATCCAGGTTTCTCAACAGCATGACAACAGCATCTACCTTAAGAACCAGGTCATGAAGATAGAGTCCCGTGGAGTACAGTAAGTGAATACTCTATTGGGAAGTCTGCGGCATCCTCGGGGTCTTCGCACTCTATGGTGTCCGTGCTGAGATAATGCCTGATTTCACCCACGTGACGATTGTGGAGAATGCCTTTGTTCATCTGACGACACACTTGTTGGTGGAACACAAAATGACCTTGTTTACGTAATCATTGACGTTGTGCAAGTTCATAATTTGCGGAAACACAAAATCTGCCAATGGAATTTGACACAGAAATCTGAGGTACACTTGTATTGCGTTCTTGTCGTAGCCTTATCTGTCAACATTACCGTTACTCAATATCACCTATTGAGATTATAATTCTCCATCCACGCTGCAAACTCTTTTGAGAATTTTTAGACTGAAATTTGATGGTAGAAGTGGACTTGAGCGTGAGCACTCCAAAAGGCAAACCGAAGGTGAAGTGCACAGTCCTTCCGCAGTCCAACAGAGCAGCTGCGATTTCGGTGAACGCCACCGCCAGCACATTCATGTTTTAGCCGCACAACACAGACATGACACAGGAATAAAGCATTGTCTTTCCAGTTCCACCGTTGACAAAGACCTTGGTGCTCGGACGGGGGTCCAACACTGCGGCCATCACGCGATCGTACACAGCCCTCTGATCGACGTTGAGCTGCTGGAGTAATGAATCACCTCACTCCGATTTATCAATAGCGTCATATACCGCGTCTGGAGGTTCTTCGATCACGTCTGGAACTGGCAAACCAAAATCAACTAGCGATTTACCGTAGGTTCCGAGTAGTTGATTTATGATGTTGAGACACGCCGCCCTAGCAGCGCCTTCCGGCCGGTTACGCCATCAGGTGTTCCTTGACACCGTTGTAAAGTTCCAGCAGATCGGTCGGCAAACAATAGACGCAGATGATCGTGAAGAGGGCCTGAACCTGCGCGGAATGTCATGTTGGCAGGCCCCGTCTTCGAGCAACCCCAGTGTCGTCGTGGCTGCTTCGTAAGTGAGATGAAACACGCCGTCAACAGTCTTAACGTCGGCGAACGACACACAACCCCGACTGTGTATGAGTAACAAACGAAAGTAGAAACGATCGCGGTCTAACGGACTTACCGAAAACATTTGACCTATGGCTCGGTCTCCACTGTTTTTCTTCTAATCCAAGTGTACGTAAAAACGTTCAAACAATAGTGATTAGCACTTCGAGGCACAAACGGCTACGTACAACGGGAAAACCCACGTGACCTCCGTGATGGGATGGCGTTTTTCGACAGTGCAGCCAACATTCACGTCATTCGACAGTTTAGAGAGCACTCGCGACGTACATGCAAACAAACGGGCTACACACTATTGTTCCACAAAATATTTGTTCCGATTCACTTTTGTTCCA